AATGAATGCATCGACTCAAGATTGTGCCTAGGGATCTCAGGGATGCTATGCAAGCTCGATATTCAGAAGGCTTATGATCGCGTGAACTGGAGGTTCCTTCTGTATATGCTTAGGCGATTTTGGGAATAAGTGGTGTAAGTGGATTCAGTTCTGTATCTCTACTATTTCATTCTCAGTTCTGGTTAACGGTACCCCTGAGGGTTATTTTCGGAGCATCACAGGATTAACGCAAGGGGACCATTGTCTCCATTGTTGTTTGTTATTGTAATAGAGGCTCTCAGTAGGATGCTCGAGAAAACGAGGCGGGAGAATTTGATAAAGGGTTTTACGGTTGGTCAACTGCCGGTATCCCATCTGCTATTTGTTGATGACACTAATTTTATGTGATGCAGATGAGGAGCAATTCATGAACTTACGTCGGTTGCTCCTATGCTTTGAAGCGGTATCTGGATTGAAGATAAATATGGAGAAATCTGAGGTTATTCCAGTAGAGGTCACTAACATGAAGGAACTAGCTATTACATTGGGTTGTTGGGTTGTGCAGTTACCTATGTCATATTTTGGACTCCCTTCAGGGGCATGGTTTAAAAGTATTAATATTTGGAATACTATTGTGGAAAAGGTGAAAAGGAGGTTAGCGGGGTAGAAGCGTATGTATCTCTCGAAGGGAGGCCGTCTTACTCTCATTAAATCTACTATCAAATATCCCTACTTATTTTTTATCAGTGTTTCCTATTTCTGTTGCAGTGAAAAATAGATTAGAAAGGATTCAAAGGAAATTTCTTTGGGCAGGATTGGGAGAGGAGAGGAAACTTCATTTGGTTAATTGGGGAGTTGTTTGCTCCCCTATGAGGATGGGGGGCCTCGGATTAAGGAGGCTTATTTTGTTTAACAAGGAATTATTGGGCAAATGATTGTGGCGGTTTGGAGTGGAGAGGGAGAGTTTCTGGAGAGAAATCATTAGGGCGAAGTATGGTGTGATGGAGGGGGGTTGGTGTTCGGGTGAAGGTCGTAGGTCTTACCGGGTGAGTTTGTGGAGGTATATTCGACGGGGATAGAACGACTTTCGGGACAGATTGACTTTTGTGGTGGGGAACGGTAATAATATCAAATTTTAGGATGATTGTCGGTGTGGAGATATAACGCTGAAGGTGAGATTTCCTTCCCTGCATCGCATTACTATGGTGTCTTCTGCTATGGTGAATGACATTTTAGCCATTCACAATGGGAGTTACAGTTGGAATATTACTTTTCAGTAGGGTTTGCAGGATTGGGAATTGGATGATTATGCGCTATTTCTAACATCTTTGTATGAGGTGCAAATTCGGGTAGGAGAGGACGATCGTAGCCGATGGAGGTTGGAACGAAATTGTATTTTTTCAGTTCGATCTTATTTTAGATCTCTTATGGGACCTGTGGAGAGTTCACTCCCCTGGAAGATGGTGTGGCAATGTAAATTGCCTCCACGAGAGGCATTTTTACTGTAGACGGTAGTGAGGGGACAGGCATTAACGATGGATAACCTCTGAAGAAATTGGTGCTATATGTGTAAGAGTAATGGGGAGACGCGTAACCACTTGTTCATTCAATGTGACGGTGTTCGCTGGCTGTGGAATAGTATTCTGACTTCTCAACATATAGATTGGGTTTTGCCTAGACGTATAGAAGAGGTGTTGCGGGAATGGAAAAGAAAACTTCACGACAAGGATAGTAAACTTGTATGGAATCTTATCCCGGGATGCATTGAATGGTTTGTGTGGAGGGAAAAGAACAACCGATACTTTGAAGACCAAATACGAACCACATAGCAATATAAAGAATTATTTTAACTGACATTATATACTTGATA